GGCAATTGCATTTGCCCCACTGTATGCTATGTGGTCGATTGTTTGCTTGTGTTTGTGCTTTAAAATTTGAAAGAAAAATACTAAAATTTTGAAAGCGTTACTTACTGGTTTATAGACTATTTGCGTTATTATTTGTTTTCGCTAATTTTGTAAAATAATTTAAGATTCTAAATTGTTCAACTGTTTAAGGTTATCGCTTTCAAATAGAAGGTTAAATGAATGGAAATGGAATTACTTGATTTAACGCTTAAAATCTAATACAGAACATTGAGTTGATTATAATTTAATACAATTTTATTGCAATTTATAAAAAAAATTTTATTTTTTTTATTTAAATTTTACTAAAAATGGTCTAAAAATTGAGATTGGAATAAGGTTAATGTATATATATAATAATTTGAATGTTTATTAATTTATTTACTTAGTTTAAAGATAATATATTAAGGATAACAAACACTAGCGACATAGTCCTATAAGTCGACAATAATAAATACTAATAAAGAATTGTTGGATGCAATTATTATTTTAGAAACGATTATATCAGATTCAATACATATTCAATTAAATTCCAATTGTAATAAAGTTTTAAAAAAAATTATAGTCGACTTCAAACTTAAGAAAAAATCATCGAAAACTTTAAGAGCAAATTTTTATTTTAATGTAATAATATTATATTAATTTATTCACAATTTTAAAATATATTTTCTAATATTTTAATTATCTAATAATTTAATATAAATTCAGTCCAAAAAGTATTCAGATTATATAGTTTAAGTCAGTGGCGCTTCAATTCTGTTAGTTTAACGCCAAGTCTGTTTTAGCGCCATCTGTGAATTACATCATATGTTTTTGTACGTTGTGAATTTATAATGTCGACGATCTTTTATTTTCTTTCGACGATACTTTCACATAACTATCTAATGCGGTTGTCGAGTTTGGATATATTACTGCTATGACGAGACAGAAGTTATCTATTAGAAGTATTTTTAGCAAATTTTGTTATGAGGTTACTTTAAATATACAAAGTAGTGAAAATTCGTTATGAATAAATCTGTTGTGTTCACGGTCGACAGAATAAGTGAGGCTAAAAAGTTCACATTTAAATGAAAGTTTTGTAGCTGTTCGTTGAATGTCATTTACATTGAATGGAGGCTATATAATATTTTTATTGTTAGGTATTTTGAACAGTAATAAATTACAACATTTTATTATTTATAAATTAATTGAATTTTTGACTGACCAAACAGCTGTTTCGAGTATTACCGAAGACCTAACACCAGCGATCTTTTGGAAATATTTTTTGTATTAAATTATTCGTAAATAACTTTTTGAGACTGCAACTCGTGCCCTGCCAAATCTGAACGTCAGAGTCAGTGTTTATTCTCCAAAGGCGTATTTGACTTTCCTTCACCATAATTGACTTTTAAAATCATATTTAATAATTTTATTGGTATTTTATGTGTAATTATATAATATTATATAATATTATAATATATAATATTACTAGCTGACCCGGCGAACGTTGTTTCCCCTTGCAATTAATTTTCCTGGCTCAGCTGAGTTATATTTGTTGTTATTCAACTTAACCTTTAGCATTTTAATGCGAAAATTATTTTGAATTGATTTTTTCTTTTGAACTACAAAAAGTCCACATGCATTACTTATGTTACAAATATTTTCATGTTACTTCAAATCCTTATAAGCACTACATTTTAAATGAAAAAAATATATCAATGGATATTGCAAAGCGTCGTAAGAGCGATGACTGTCTGCAATCGTATGTACTGTGTTATCTCTGCGTTGTATTCGTATATCTCGACGTTCAAATGCGTCGCCAATCATAACAACTGCAACTTCATTAATAGTCGGTGCATTATATCGGCCCGCGTGCTGCCCAGATGGTACTTTGATGACGATTGTATAGTTGTCGTTTAGCAGTCTGTTTGAAACGGTATTGAACAACTGGACCAACTGGTTGTGATTTTTTAAAAACGGTTCTAAAATACCCAGAATTTCTTGCTCCTCCATCTGCTCGAAATGGTTGTACTGGCAACGCGCGTTTATTTGCTGCTTCTTATCACCCATTAAGTAGATTTGCAGAAATTTGGGATCATTCTTGGGCATCGTCATTAAAGAACCAATTTGGTGATACACTTGGCCCTGAATCTTGAGCGTTGATTGAAAATTGCGACCAATCTCATTCTGAAGGATTTTTGTTGTTCCAAATGATGTCATTTGAAAGCACGAATTGAATTTGCGAATTTTACGTAAAAACAATTTAGATTGAGATGTAGCTTTAGCCAATAGTGTTTTCAATGGTTCTGGCGGCAAATTCAATGGTGGCAATACAACTTTTCCAGATGCGCAGCCGATTCACCTTTGTATTTGAGTGCATGACAGTGTTGGCACTGTTTGTTCATAGCACCGATTACAATTCGTGAATGTGACGAATAGTCGATATCCAACTCATATTCATATTGTTTTTTTTTTGTACGTTATTTATATCTTTAACATATATATATAATTCTTCTTTTTTGTGTGTGTTCAAGTGAATTCAAGGATGGTTTAGATTCACAATTTGGTCCACTGGATAACGTTTTTTTAATTATTATACAGTTTTTTGGTATCCATATACATTTATATTAGACCTTTAAAAGTTATTCATGTTTACTTTGATTTGTTTAAAAAGTTTAAACTCTAAAATGAATCGTTCAGCTATCCTGTTGTATTTTTGAATTCGGTGGAATACCAGGAATACCAACACATAACTTGAGATTAAAAATTGACTCACCTATAATTATACTGCGGAATTTAAATGCACTTAAGCTATGCAACGGCAATTTTACGATTCATTTTAGAGATTTTAACTTTTGAAACAAATCAAAGTAAGCGTGAAAAAATTTTAAAATTCTAATATAAATGTATATGGATACCAAAAAAAATGAAAAAATTAATTAAAAAGACATTATCCAGTGGGCCACATTCTGAATCTAAACCTTCCTTGAATCCACTTGAAAACACATAAAAAATTTCATCAAAATCGGTTCAGCCGTTTAGGAGAAGTTCACTGTCAACACACGTACAGAAGGATTATATATATAAGATTAGTAGATATCGAATTAAATCAATGATTGTTAAAAAAATTTGACAAAACCATAATAATAATAATAATAATAATGATAAAACCATAACAATAATATTATACACTGCACATATATAATATTATTATATTGTAATATTATATCATATTATTGAGCTGTTTTTTTCGTAGTATAAAATACTTAATATGATATTAAGTCAAATTTAAAAATTTATTTGGGAAAAAATAGTAGAACTAAACTATGTGAACACGGTGGATCCTGAGATTCAATACCTGTAATGCTTGAACATGATTTTAATATTAATTAATAAACGAATTAATATTTTAATAAACGAAAAATGATTTCATGCAATTAAATTAATTAATAATTATAGAGAAGTAGTGTTTATTTATAAACGCAATAAAATTTTAAAATTTTTAGCT